TTTCCCAGGGTTCAAGCGAGCCTCCCGCCGGGGCCTCCCAAAGCGCTGGGATTAGGGGCGGGAGCCGTCGCGCCGTCGCGGGATGGACTCTGCTGTGCTGCGCATCGCGCGCCGTTCGCAAGCCCTGATGTCTCCCTTTCTGTCATATGCAAAGAGACATTTCCTCCGAAACGACGCGTTTCCATAATTTACAGGAAATCGAAACAGAACGATGACGTCATCATCGTAGTACATCTGCTGAAGTACCTGAGGGCTTCGAAAAAACAAAAAAAGACGAAGGAACGGAAACGGCCAGGGGGCAGGGGCTGACCCCACCCACCCCCACCGAGGCTCTTCCCGGAGCTGCCCCGCCCGCAGGAAGGCCCGGGGCGGGGCCGAGGTCAAGGCTCCGCGGCAAACTCGCCCCTTCCCCGCTGACGAGCACTAGGGATTGGTCGGGCCCCAGCTGCCCGGACGTGACGTCGGCGCCCGGCGTGGGCGGTGAACCGCTCAGCTCTTTTCCCCGCCCAGTCCCCTGAAGCACCAAAACCTGAAAGGGGCGGCCGGGGCGGGGCCTGAGGGCGGCGGACGCGGGCGCGGGGGGCGGGGCCTACCTTGCGGCGAAAGCGGGTTGGTGGCTGCGGCTGCGGGCCTGCACTTCCGCCCGTGGTCGAGAGCGGACCCCGGGAAGGAGGTGGGTCACCGGCTGACGCCAGGCAGAGCGCGGTGAGGGGAGCGGCGGGCTGGAGGCCGCAGGTCGGGCGGGCGTGAGCGTAGGCGAGGCTTGTGCGCACAGGGTCGCGTCGGGGAACCATCGCGGCGCTTGGGGCCCGGTGGACCGATAGGTGGGAGTCGGCGCGGCCTCGGCCGCTTCCCTCAGTGCGGGGGCGGGAGCACCCCTAGACGGTTGGCGGCCGCCCTGTTGCCTTCCTGCGCGCTGGACCCGGTCGCTGATACCCTCTGTCTTTCCGTTGTCTACGCTGCGGTCTCGCGTGAGCTGTTTTTTGGTGTGGACACTGCGTAGTTTCCTTCGGAGAGCGGGACGTCTCGGGGTGGGAAGTGTCGGTCCGCTCCACTCCCTCGCCTACCTCCGGCCTGGCGCCCCTCCCTTTGGATTGTTGTTGGTATTTTTTTGGAGACAGGGTCTCTCTCTTGTCACCCAGGCTGAAGTGCAATGGCCCAATCAAGGCTCACTGCAACCTCGATCTCCTGGGCTCACCCAATCCTCCCGCCTCATTCCCCACCCCCCACCCCTCCCGAGTAGCTTGGGACTACAAGCTCGTGCCACCACTCCCGGCTAAGTAAAAAAAAAAAAAAAAAAAAAAAAAAAAGAAAAAAATTGTGTTGCAGAGACAGGGCTGGGCTGGTTGTCCAGGCTGGGCTCAGTTACTCCAGCGATCCTCCGAGCCGCCGCGCTCGGCCGGTCCCTCCGTTTGGAAGAGTCTGTTTCTTCCACCTGGAGGAGCTGGAGCATTTGCTGCTGGCAACAGAGCTTTGTCCGTCCTCCCCAGGTTGCGGGGTCCATGGATGTGCCCCAAAATTTGCACGACCCGAGTGAAACGGGGTTGACTGCCTGGGGGGAAAAGAGCCCCTCAAGGAGAAGGCCGAGTTTGGTATTTAAGTGATACAGGCTGAGTATCCTAGGACTGATGTTACTTGCGTTGGGTACCTTGGGGGGAATTTTGGCTCAGTGCCTACCTATCCCCGTGAGTCGGGACAGCCCTCGGTGGAACTGGGAGTCGGAATTGCAGTTCTGCTGTTCATCTGTTACCTGAAAGTCCACAGACAAGTGGTCTAACCTGTCTGGTTTTCTTCATCGACTGGCAGTATTTATCGGTCCTAGGATTCATGTCAAGCTCAGATGAGATGAGTATAAAAGTCACTTAACAATTTTTCTTTTTTGTTTTTTAATTTCAGAAATGTTCTTTTGGGGCCAGAGTCTGGGTATCTATGAATGCATATCCGTGTTTGTTCACAACTAAGCCCAGCTGAGACGATCACTTTTCTGTAGGCCATTTGCCCAGGTAATAATTTTTTTTTTTTAACAGGAGTTCAGACAACCAAGGTAAGTGCAATGATGGAAACATGTGCAGAGTCCTGAAAGATAAAGAAGGTCATCAGAGACAGACTGGAAGAGAGGACAGGCCCCCCCAGACGTGGTGACACTCAGGGAGGGCTTGCACACTGGTTGTTCTCAAATCCAGCTTTCTCTCGGAATCTTAGTGGAGTTCTTTAACGATTTTATCCGTAGGATCTCTTCTGCTTTTTTAAGTTCCTGAGGTAAGTCTGATGTGCATTCACAGTTAAGAACCAGGCAGAGATATGAGGGTGGGTTTTCAAGGCTGATGGATGAGCTTCCATAAAGGCAGGGAATACCAGTCACCATGAATGGTTTTAGGAAGAGCAAGTGAAGGGAGGTGAGTGTGGAAGGAAAGAAATGATGTGGAGGATGGATCATCGAGGGCCTTGTGTATGTTGAGCTCAGCAATTTGAATTTTATCCAAACACTGGAGGAGAAGTCACTTGTGCTTTCGAAGTCCAGTTTGGGCTTTGGGCTCTTGGCAGCATTTTGGAGGAAGAATTGGTGGCAGTCAACCAAGAGACAGAGAGATTATTGAGGCTTCTTCAGTAGTCCAGGCAAATAATGAAAATGTATTGAATTAAGGCAGTGGTGGTTGCACTAAGAAGAAAGTAGAGATGTAATTAAGGGGTGGGCTCTAGAACTCAGAGACTGTGGCTGAGGTAGAAGGAGTGTGTAGAATAATTCCTAGGTTGCTAGTTTGAAAATTGAATGGACAGTAATGACATCAACAAGGGAATATAGAACAGAAAACAGGTTTAAGGGAAGGACTGTGTTGGGTTCTGGTCATGTTTACTTGGAGGTACCTGTCAGACATGTGAGCAGAGATACACTGTATGCATTTGGATGTTGAGTATATCTCTCTGAAATTCTGGGTTATGTTATCATTTATTGAGTAGGTGGAACACAGTGCATCATTGCATTGTTTGTGTTTTTTGGTGTTTTTTTTTTTTTTTTTTTTTTTTGAGACGGAGTCTCATTGTCAGCAAGGCTGGAGTGCTGTGGCTTGATCTCAGCTCACTCAGCTCACTGCAACCTCTGACTCCTGGGTTCAAGCCTCCCGAGTAGCTGGGAGTACAGGAGTGCACCACCACACCCAGCTAATTTTTGTATTTTTAGTAGAGACGGGGTTTCACCATGTTGGCCAGGATAGTCTCGATCTGTTGACCTCATGATCCTCCCACCTTGGTCTCCCAAAGTGCTGAGATTACAGGTGTGAGGCACTGCACCCTGCTTGCATTAAGTTTTACAATACTTTCTCAGTCTTTGGGCAGCTTCAATATAGGCAGTAGTTGAAGCAGTGGTTTGAAGTAGGTCACCCAGAAAGGGAGTACTGAATGAATAGGTTAGAATTCTCAGGACAAGCCTTCGAAAACTTTAGTCTTTATATGAGTAAAAAAGGCAGAGTTGTAATTATGAAGGAGACTGAGTAGAAGAAGTGTCAAAAAATGGTGTAGCTAAAGAAAGCATGGGCAGCATTTTTCATATGCTTCAGCAGAGTAAAGTTGAGAACCTATTGGATTGGTAATACAGAGATTATTACGGACTTAACATTCCCTAGAGTGTAAAGGTAGAAGTCAGAGTGCAAAGGAGCTGAAGAAGTGGGAGCTAGTGAATCTAAACTTCCAGATGTTTAGCTGAGAACTGTAGAAGAAAGAGGCTTTTTTTAGGTTTATTTATTTAGAGAAGGAGTTTCACTCTCTGTCTCCCATGCTGGAGAGCAGTGGCACGATCTTGGCTCTCTGCAACCTCCACCTCCCGGGTTCAAGCGATTCTGCTACCTCAGCCTCCCAAGTAGCTGGGATTACAGGCGCCCATAATCACGCCCGAAACATTTTTGTATTTTTAGTAGAGACGGGGTTTCACCATGTTGGCCAGGCTGGTCTTGAACTCCTGACCTCAGATGATCCACCAGGCTCGACTTCCCAAAGTGCTGGGATTACAGGTGTGAGCCACTGTACCCCGCCAGAAGAAAGAGATTGTTATCTGAAGTTTCTGGCTAGCTAATATTGAGAAATTGATAGCCTAAGGATAAGTCTAGAAAATTACAGTTGTACCTGTGGTGAAGCATCCTATATTTTTGGTTTTGACAAATTAGCTCTCTTTTTAGTGGGTGCTCAGAGAGTTGCTCTTGTTTGAGTTTATTTTGGTTTTGCAACTTGAGTATTGTCTTGACACACCCATTTCTCATTCAGTAATGATTCCAAGTGGTTACAGGCTGATGAGACTGACCAGATAGACCTCAAGAAGAACTGAGTTGTACAGAAGCTTAACAGGATTCACAGTCATTTAGAAGCAATAATTTTCCCCCTAAAAGACAAAATATTCCCTATTCAGATTTCCTGGGCTTAGCCATTAGGCCAGTGATGATTTTAAATTTGGAGAGTAAACCACACACATGTGACCTTTTGAAGAAGAACCACAGAGCATATGTTCTGTTGTTGATGTGCTCCGCAGCAGTATTTTCTGTATCTTCTAGGGTCTACGACACTTACCTGTTTGGCAGTAACTCCCACATACTTTGAGAAAATTTAGCCTTGCTTTTTGGGATGTGGAAATAAGCTAGCTCTCTGAGTGAAATAATAAGCAAATTCTGTGATTTTCTTAGTAGGTTTCTTTTGTTGTCTCCTTTGTTAGTAATTATTATTATTATTATTATCATTTTTGAGATGTAGTTTCGCTCTCGTTACCCAGGCTGGAGTTTAATGGCGCGATCTTGGCTCACTGCAACCTCCACCTCCTGGGTTCAGGCAATTCTCCTGCTTCAGCCTCCTGATTAGCTGGGATTACAGGCATGCACCACCATGCCCAGCTAATTTTTTTTGTATTTTCTTTAGTAGAGACGGGGTTTCACCATGTTGACCAGGATGGTCTTGATCTCTTGACCTCGTGATCCACCCACCTCGGCCTCCCAAAGTGCTGGGATTACAGGCTTGAGCCACCGCGCCCGGCCGTTAGTAATTATTTTAAAGTACATGACATTTAGAGCTTCAAGTAAGGTAAGTGGGGGGAAAAAGTATGCAACGTTTTATTTGTGTGGTAGTCCCACTTAAGTGGGACTTAAGTTGAAAAAAAGCTCAAATTGACTGCAGTCTGTCAGCTGCTGAAATCATCCTTAAAACTGTGTTTGAGAAATCTATGAAGTTTCACTTTCTGTTCTTAGTCTTCTAAGTTCGCTTTCCTTATTGAACTAGGTCACTGGAAAAAAACAGCTTCTGCAAACTTAATTTATTAGTGGTGTGATGTGGGCCTTTTAGGTATAAGTAATTCTTCTTTTGAAGAAAATAATTTTAGATTCTGCAGAAATATACTGAAGACCTTATCCCTTGTTACTTGGCATTTCCTAGTCTGCAGTGCCCTTGTACTAGGTAGGCATTAATAATATGTAATTGAATTAGAGTTAGTGTCAGGAAAGGGCAGGACTCTGTAGCTATAACTACATACTCTTTTTTTTTTTTTTTAAACTCCCTTCGATGAGAACTGGGTAACTCATTATCCTGTTCCTCTGCTTTCAGGAGGCTCCTAATGTAGAATTTAATGAAATTAAATTCCTTCTAAATAAGTTTTGATTTTTCTTTTTTTTTTTGAAATCTCATTTTTAAATGTCCTTTTGTGTATGTACTTTAATGTTGAAAGCTACCCTAAATTCTTTTTAGAACCATGAAGAACATATACCTCTTCAAAAGCATAAGTAAAAGTAATATTGGCCAGGCGTGGTGGCTCAGGCCTGTAATCCCAGCACTTTGGGAGGCCAAGGTGGGTGGATCACCTGAGATCAGGAGTTTGAGTACAGCCAGACCAACATGGTGAAACCCTGTCTCTATTTTTTAAGGAAAAAACAATTTTTTTAAAATAGAAAAGTAATAGTAAATAAATTTTAAAAATCACTTCATATGACTAACATATGATATGCTTATGCATTTCTGAATAATTATTTGTGTGTAAAAGAAGAAACTTAAGAATTTTTTTTTTTTTTTTTTTTTTGAGATGGCGTCTCACTCTGTAGCCCAGGCTGGAGTGCCTTGGCACAATCTCAGCTCACTGTAACCTCTGCCTCCGGGGTCCCAGTTCAAGCAGTTCTCCTGCCTCAGCCTACCAGGTAGCTGGGATTACAGAGTGCACCACCATGTCCAGCTAATTTTTGTATTTTTAGTAGAGACGGGGTTTCATCATGTTGGCCAGGCTGGTCTTGAACTCCTGACCTCATCCTCTGCCTGCCTCGGCCTCCCAAAGTGCTGGGATTACAGGCGTGAGCCACCGTGCCTGGCTAAGGATTTTTAAAAATAACTTTATTTTAGGTACTAGCTTTATGCCACAGAAGCCTCAGCAGCCAAGCCTAATTTCTGTTGTGGTGTTTCAGATTTCCCATTGGTAAAGATTATATGTTCTGAATTTTAGGGTGATGGTGATACTCAATTCAAAAATGTCACACTGCCCCATTTCCATTCCTGCATATTCAGTGTCTTCACTTAGGTTCCTTTTATTTTTTTTGAGACACAGTATCACTCTGTCACTCAGGCTGGTGTGTAGTGATGCAATCTTGGCTTACTTGCAACCTCTGCCTCCCAGGTTCAAGTGATACTCCTGACTCAGCCTCTCGAGTAGCTGGGATTACAGATGTGCATCACCATGCCTCAGCTAATTTTTGTATTTTTTTTAGTAGAGATGGGGTTTTGCCATGTTGGTCAGGCTGGTCTTGAACTGATGACCTAAAGCTATTTGCCCACCTCAGCCTCCCAAAGTGCTGGGATTACAGGCATGAGCCACTGTGCCCAGCCTACTTAGGTTTCTTAACCTTCTAACCTTCTTTCTCCTTGAATGGAGACTTTTTAAACATTTAAAAAAATGGTCTCTCCTTTGAATTTTAATACCACCAATGTATTGTGTGTCTCTTTATGTACTGTATGTACCTCTGAGCTTTATACGTAAAAAGAGTAGGATTCCGTTGCTCGGGCTGGAGTGCAGTGGCGTGGTCTCAGCTCATTGTAACCTCTGTCTCCTGTGTTCACGCGATTCTCCAGCCTTTGCCTCCCAAGTAGCTGGGATTAGAGATGCACACCACCACACCCAGCTAATTTTTTGTATTTTTAGTAGAGACAGGGTTTCACTATGTTGGCCAGGCTGGTCTCGAACTTCTGACCTCGTGATCTGCCTGCCTCGGCCTCCCAGAGTGCTGGGATTACAGGCATGAGCCTCCGCGCTCAGCCTGGAATGCTTTTATCAGGAAGATTTGTCTCGCTTATTTGTTCAGTAATTTATTTATGTCAGTATGGCTTCATGTATATTTTATACTTTGGGTAATAATCCCATATTATTTATTTTGTTCACATGTTTTAGCTTTAGCCACAGAGACTATTTCAGGTTGACTTTCTGGTATTACAAGTTCCTCCAGGTCTACTTGCATTTTTCCTGTCCCAGCAGATTGATTATATTTTCAGTGCAGACATTTGCTTTTTTATTTAGCCAGTACACTGTTTACTAACAGCTTTTCTGTTAGCTTTTATATGCATTTAGTTATAAAGATAAAAATACAGGATCTTAGCTTATTTTTATTATACCTCATTAGAATTGGAGACCTTTTGGGATTCTGGCTTATACCCTGTTTGCTGATCTTCTCAGTTTAATGCTGTCTCTATTTCTGATAAACCTGCCTTATATGACTTTTTTTGTTTTTGAAACTGTCTCACTCTGTCACCCAGACTGGAGTGCAGTGGCACGATACCACCTCCCTGCACCTCTGCATCCCAGGCTCAAGCAATTCTCCTGCTGCAGCCTGGGCTGACCGCGGTCTACGGATGTGCACCACCACACCTGGCTTTTTTGTATTTTTGGTAGAGACAGGGTTTTGCCGTGTTGGTCAAGCTGGTCTCGAACTCCTGACCTCAGGTGATCTGCCTGCCTCGGCTTCCCAAAGTACTAGGATTACAGGCGTAAGCCACCACACCGGACTATAGTTGCCTTGTATATCTTCATTCAAATTTTTGACAAATTTAGTTATTGGGATTTTCTTCCTGCTACTGTCTTGTTATTTTGCTCTCTGAAGTTGATAGGATTTGAAAGGTTTTTCATTTTAACCCTTTCACTTTTGAATTTGTAGAGGCTCTGATGTTGTTATAAAAACAAAAAGTTGAAGAAGGTAAAAAACTATTAATCTAAAAAATATTAATTAATCTTAGTAGTGCAATAGGTTGTTAGCATTTGTAGCTGTCAGAGTTTATAGTGCATTGAGGAACAGTGAGTTATGGGCAGCAGTTCATGCATATATGCAAGTTCCTGTGCCCGTGCTTTCAAAACAAGAGAAAATCCCTCTCTATGTCAACCTGAATAATGAGATTTAGGCAATACGATTAAATATTGTTTATTTGAACATGAAGTTTTTTTTTTTTTTTTTTTTTTTTGAGACGGAGTTTCGCTCTTGTTACCCAGGCTGGAGTGCAATGGCGCGATCTCGGCTCACCGCAACCTCCGCCTCCTGGGTTCAGGCAATTCTCCTGCCTCAGCCTCCTGAGTAGCTGGGATTACAGGCATGCGCCATGATGCCCAGCTAATTTTTTGTATTTTTATTAGAGACAGGGTTTCACCATGTTGACCAGGTTGGTCTCAATCTCTCGACCTTGTGATCCACCCGCCTCGGCCTCCCAAAGTGCTGGGATTACAGGCTTGAGCCACCGCGCCCGGCCGAACATGAAGTTTAAGGATGGCTAGCTAGGTGATCTAGACTCCAGAAGATAGGGTCAATGCTCTGAAGTGGAGAGGCTTTGAGGGTCATTTATATAGGCAAGGTCTGAGGAAGCTTAACAGGATTTTGATGTTTTCTACACAAGGCTAGTTCCTAGTTATAGCAATTTAGTGAGTTATAGGCAGTGTTCCATTTGGAAAGGGTATATTTAGCCTTTCACCTTAAGGATGTAGTAGTCCAGGGGTCTTTTATCTCTTTGTTAATGGGTCTTTTATCCCAGTCAAGAGATCTTTTATTGCATATGACATCTAGTTGGAGCCGGGAACAAGAAAGTAACAAAGTTAACCTGTAACAGGAGGTCAGGCTGCATTACTTGGTCTCCAAAGTCAACCTTCTGCAGGGCCTAATTTTTAGAAGCCCTCAATAGACAGCTCTCCATTTGCTTTCACATCTGTATGAGTTTTTGTTATTGGCACAACTTAATATTTATGGATTTTTGTTTCCAGAGATTTCTGGAATGTGGCTACTGGGAATGTGAAAGTTTTCCTGAGCTTTTGAGTTTGCCTCTAATACATTACTGGAACACTCCAAAATCTGTACTTTGAAAATATTGATAAGTCTGGGTTTCTGTATGTGTATATATATATACATATATATATATATACGTATATATATATACACGTATATATATATACGTATATATATATACGTATATATATATATACATATTTTTTTTTTTTTTTGAGACGGAGTTTCGCTCTTGTTGCCCAGGCTGGAGTGCAATGGTGCGCTCTCGGCTCACCGCAACCTCCGCCTCCTGGGTTCAGGCAATTCTCCTGCCTCAGCCTCCTGAGTAGCTGGGATTACAGGCACACGCCACCATGCCCAGCTAATTTTTAGTATTTTTTTTTTAATAGAGACGGGGTTTCACCGTGTTGACCAGGATGGTCTCGATCTCTTGACCTCGTGATCCACCCGCCTCGGCCTCCCAAAGTGCTGGGATTACAGGCTTGAGCCACCGCACCCGGCCAAATATATTTTCTATCAGTACTATGTAGTTTTGAGCCCTCTCTGTAGCACAACTTTGTACTGCCATATGATACTTATTCCTAATACAATGCTTTTACTTCCCTGTATTTTTCTTTTTCTTTTCTTTTTTTTTTTGAGACAGAGTTTCACTCTGTCACCCAGGCTGGAATGCAATGGTGTGGCTTGGCTCACTGCAACCTCTGCCTCCTGATTTCAAGCAATTCTCCTGCCTCAGCTTCCTGAGTAGCTGGGATTACAGGTGCCTGCTACCATGCCTGGCTAATTTTTGTATTTTTAGTAGAAATGGGGTTTCACCGTGTTGGCCAGGCTGGTCTCAAACTCCTGACCTTGTGATCCACCTGCCTCGACCTCCCAAAGTGCTGGGATTATAGGCGTGAGCCACTGGGCCCAGCCCTCTGCATTTTTCTTGTGTCAAAAGTAGGAGGATTTTATGAGTTTAGTCAGTTCAGTGATTGATAAGCCAGCCAACAGAACATTTGGGCTGTAGCGGCACACTTTAAATTGAAGACCAGGTTCACAAGTTGGAAGTGTGTCTATTCTTCACACACAGTAGATCTGAAGTTGGTTTTTTTCTTGATGTTATTTTTTCTGGCTGTAGGTACAGAATGAGCACATGTTGTTGGTGTACACCAGCTGGTGTTTCCACCACTGACTTCCTAAAGCACTATGCGTCCAACACTCGATCCAGCGAATTTCAAACAGCCAATGAAGACCTCTGCTACTGCTTAGAGTGTGTGGCTGAATACCACAAAGCAAGAGATGAATTGCCATACTTGCATGAGGTAATTTATATTAGATGGACAATATTTTTCAGAGCTTAGCTTGATAGCTAGAACAGAATAAGTTTGGACACTGTTGGGAAGTATTCAGAAAAATGATATGATTTCAACTTTGTGGGGTTTTTTTGTTTTTGTTTTTTTGTTGTTGTTAGAGATGGAGTCTTGCTCTGTCACTCAGGCTGGAGTACAGTGGTGTGATTATACTTTTATCATTTTACACATTTGAGTATATTCTTAGGACAAATTCCTGAAAGTGGAAGTGCTGTCTCATGATTTTCCATGGGCCACATGGGTTTTCATAGTTTGTTTTGCTATGTTTTGGAGACAGGGTCTTTGCTCTGTTGCCCAGGCTGGAAGTGCAGTGGTGTGATCACGGTTCACTGCAGACTCAACCTTCTGGACTCCCACCTCATCCTCCTGAGTAGCTGGGACCATCGGCATGTGCCAGTATGCTCAGCTAATTAAAAAAAATTTTTTTTGTAGAGACAAGGTCTTCTATTTTGCCCAGACGGGTCCTGAACTCCTGAGCTCAAGTGATCCTTGCACCTTGGCCCCCCAGTGTTGGAATTACAGGCATGAGCCACCGTGCCTGGCCAAATTTGAAGGCTAACTCATTGTCTGGTATATAGTAGGTACTGAGTAAATGTTTAGCACTGATGGAATTGAAACCTGGAACAGAATTTTATGATCTTTTAGTCACTTTGGTATAAAATAATTTTATGAAATAGAGTTGTTGGGAGGGGATTTGTTTCTTAATTTTCTGGTCAGTGCTATAATACATGCATGTATCCGAATATCTTGGGTTTTTGTTACCCACCCCACCCACCCGGACACCCCTCGGGGTTTTTTTTAATTGGAAATATTCTTTTTTTAATGGGCAAATGGCATAAACCTCTAAGGGGAGGTATATTTTCCAGTCATAATAACCAAAGTGAAAGATATAATTTCTAAATATGTGGCTTTGAATATTTGTTTATTTGATGAAAACCAGAACGTAGGCCATAGAGATACATACAGTATATAGAGGAGAGGATGATTACTTATGGATTGGTATTGAGAAACTTGCATTTTATGAAGTTTTCTTTTTTTTTTTTTTTTTTTTTTTGAGACAGAGTTTCGCTCTTGTTACCCAGGCTGGAGTGCAATGGCGTGATCTCGGCTCACCGCAACCTCCGCCTCCTGGGTTCAAGCAATTCTCCTGCCTCAGCCTCCTGAGTAGCTGGGATTACAGGCACGCGCCACCATGCCCTGCTAATTTTTTGTATTTTTAGTAGAGATGGGGTTTCACCATGTTGACCAGGATGGTCTCGATCTCTCGACCTCGTGATCCACCCGCCTCGGCCTCCCAAAGTGCTGGGATTACAGGCTTGAGCTACCGTGCCCGGCCTGAAGTTTTCTAATAATGAAGCTATCCAGCATATTTCTACTATATGCTGGGCTAAGGTAGTTAGCTATGGCTAGAATGTGGAAGGGAAGGCATAGAAGGGCCTCAGTTTTGCTTTTGGCAGATAAACTCCAGCTTCTCTTTTTTTAAAAAAAATATGGATGGTAGTGATGTTGAGATACGTATAGAAAAATTCTACAAGAGAAGTGTTTAAACAGCTCATACTATTTTTTTGTTTTCTTTTTCTCTTAGAGACATGTCATCTAGGCTGGAGTACAGTGGCACAGTCATAGCTCACTATAGCCTCAGATTATTGGGCTCAAGTGACTCTCCTGCCTCAGCCTTCAGAGCAGCTAGGACTGTTTTTCTATTTTTGGTGGCGACAAGGTCTTGCTTTACTGCCCAAGCTGGTCTTGGAACTCCTCACCTAAAACAGTCCTACCTTGGCGTCCCAGAATGCTGGGATTACCTGTAAAGGTGTGAGCCACTGTTCCTGGCCAGCATCTCATACTGTGTATACTCATTTTTCATAAAAGCGGCCACATTTTAAATCGTTTTCTTTAAGATAGAATCTCTAATACTTTACATTTCAGAATTGTACTTAGGAAAAGGCTTTTTAGGTCATCACGGTCAGTGTATTTTGTTGATAATAAGACATAAGACACACTGCCCATTTTATTTTCCCGTAGGTTTTATGGGAGTTAGAAACCTTACGTCTCATAAATCACTTTGAAAAATCCATGAAGGCAGAAATTGGAGATGATGATGAATTATATATAGTAGACAGCAATGGGGAGATGCCACTGTTTGACGTTACTGGACAAGACTTTGAAAATAAGCTTCGAGTTCCTCTTCTTGAAATACTGAAATATCCTTACTTGCTTCTACATGAACGTGTTAGTGAGTATCTTGGTGGTTCCTCAAGTTATATCAGTTATTTTACATTATTATAATATTTTAATATAAGAATTTATCTGTATTGCAAATTTGTTTGCTAAACATGTATTTAGGATATATAATTAGGGCTGCTTTTTTTTCTCAACATTTTTGTGTTTTTTTTTGGGTTCAGACACAAAATACCTATTTTTAGGGGCACAGTTCAAACTTATCTTGTTCAGGGGACAACTGAAGATTGTTTTTGTGTTTTTTAGAGACAGGATCTTGCTCTGTCACCTTGACTGGAGTGCAGTGGTACAGTCATGGCTTGTTGCAGCCTCTTCCTCCTGGGCTCAGGTCATACTGTTGCCCGAGCCTTCTGGGTAGCTGGGACTACAGGTGCGTGCCATTGCACCCAGCTAATTTTATGTTGTATTTTTTGTAGAGATGAGGTTTCACTATGTTGCACTGCCCAGGCTGGTGTCCAACTCTTGGGCTCAAGCAGTCCTCCTACCTCAGCTTCCCAAATTGTTGGGATTCCAAGTACGAGCCACTATTCCTAGCTCCCAACATTTTATTGTGTAAGTTTTTAAACATTGAAAAACTGTAGAGTGAACACCATATACCCATCACATAGATTATACAGATGTTTTTTGCTGTTATTTGCGTTATCATGTATCTGTTCATCTATTCATTCAATTATTGATGATTTTCATTATTGCCAGGCAGGGTGGCTTACCCCTGTAATCCCAGCACTTTGGGAGACTGAGGCAGGCAGATTACCTGAAGTCAGGAGTTGGAGATCAGCCTGGCCAATGTAGTGAAACCCATCTCTACTAAAAATACAAAAATTAGCTGGGCATGATGATGGACACCTGCAATCCCAGCTACTCAGGAGGCTGAGGCATGAGAATCTCTTGAACCTGGGAGGCAGAGGTTGCAGAAAGCCAAGATTGTGCCATTGCACTCCAGCCTGGGTGACAGATTGATACTCTGTCTCAAAAAAGTAAAATAATAATTTTTATTCTTGTAGCATATCTGTGGCAGAGTTCTCAGGCTTTGCAGTGGTGCAGTTTTGGATAGTCCTTTGCTGTTTGGGGCTGTGCCATCTATTGTAGGATGTGTAGCAGTATCCCTGGCCTGTCTCTACTATATGGCAGTAGCGCTCCCTATCTCCTTTGTGACAACCAAAAATGTGTCCAGACATTACTGAATATCCCTTTTGGGGGATGGTGAGGTATAAAATCACCCCTGGTTGAGAGACGCTAATCTGTAGTAATTTTCACTAATCACCATGACATGGCTTATTACAGCTGTCTAGATTTTGGCTGTTTACATTTGCGTTTCATAATATGAATCTCTTGAAAGTAAAGGCATTTCCCTAACCTATCAAATCTAACAATACCTATATGTATTTTTAAAGTCTCACTGTTGCCCAGGCTGGAGTGCAGTGGCATGGGGTTGGCTCACTGCAACCTCCGCCTCCTGGGTTTAAGCAATTCTCCTGCCTCAGCTTCCCGAGTAGCTGGGATTACAGGCATGCACCACCACACGCGCTAATTTTTTTGTATTTTTAGTAGACAGAGGGTTTTGCCATGTTGGCCAAGCTAGTCTCAAGCTCCTGACCTCAAGTGATTCACCCACCTCAGCCTCCTAAAGTGCTGGGATTACAGACATGAGCCACCGTGCCTGGCTCAAAATAACAATACTAAAATCTGGTTCATTTTCATATTTTCCCAATAGTGGCAAATGTGTTTTTGGCTGATTTGCTGAAATTAGAATCTAGTCAGGGACCACACATTGCATTTGGTTCATAGTTCGTACAGCTTTTTAAATTCAAAACAGTCTTCTCAGCTTGAGCAGCATAACAACACCCTCCCTCCCTCCCCCGTCTCTACAAAAAATAAAAATTAGCTGGACATGGTGGCATGTGCCTGTATTCCTAGGTACTCAGGAGGCTGAGGTGGGAGGATCGCTCTAGCCCAGGAGGTTGAGACTATAATGAGTCATGGTCGTACCTCTGTCCTTTATCCTTGGGCAACAGTGCAAGACCCTGTCTCTAAAAAACCAAAAAATAGTCTTCAGTTGACCCTTGAACTGTACAGATCCAGTCATACATGGATCTTTTTTCAACCAAAATTGAATCAAAAATACAGTATTCATGGGTTGCAAAACCCGCTTCTATGGATGGTTAACTTTTTGTGTATGCTGGTTTCTCAGTGCCAACTACAGGACTCAGCTATGTGTGGATTTTGGTATACATGGGTACCCTGGAACCAGAGCCGTGCATGTAACAACTGTATTTGTACAGAAACCAACATGTACCCATATCTTTTTTTTTTGCCACAAGTTTGACTTTTTGAGGAGGGCATATATTTGCTCTGTAGAATAACACACTTCATGGATTTTTCTGGTTTCTTTCCTATGCTGTTATTTAACTTGTTTCTCCATTTAGCATATTTTCAGTAAACTGAAAAGATCTAAAGACGTGATTAGACAAGTCAATTTTGTCTAAATCAATAAATTCAAAATAACTAGATTGGAAAATTCTGAGACATTTTCAAGTATTTATTAAAGAATAATCTATCCATAAAAGTATATAAGCTTGATGTTTTTTCACAAATTAAACACATTTGTGTAGCCAGCATCCAGATCAAGCTTCAAAACATTATCAACATCCCAGAAGCTCCTTTCGTACTTCTCTAATCATTAATATCTCCCCATCCCCAAAGCCAACCTCTGTCACTAGTCAAAGAACTATAATATTGAAAATGCAACTTGAAAAAGCAATAATATTTTTTGAAATTTTACAGCTAAAAGTTGATTGATCTGAAAGAGTAAATGGATTGTTCAATAAATGGGAGTGGGACAGCTAGTCATTTAGGGGTAAAGCTGATTTTGTTCCTTGTTTTATATCAGATAAGTCTAGGTGGATCAAAACATAAAATATATGTGGAATTGGACCTATAACCATATGGTTACAGGTCTTTTACACATTCCCTCTGGAGATAATTATGCTAAGTGTAAAAAAAGAGGTATATTTTAATAAGGTCAGAATACTTTCAACACCCTATGATCAACAGATTTTAGTCTTCCAGATATGTAAATATTGTTCCTGCATTTACAATATGAGCATTTTTATGCCTCAGTTTGGAAAAAAATTTTTTTTTTTTCCATTTATTTACAGAGTAACTCAAGGAGCCTAATTTAGGGAATCTTGATAAGGTGATGAGATTTATATGTTTTACTTAACTTATATTTTTCTCTCTAGATGAGTTATGTGTCGAAGCACTTTGTCGGATGGAACAAGCCAATTGCTCCTTTCAGGTGTTTGACAAACATCCAGGGATCTATTTGTTTTTGGTCCATCCCAATGAAATGGTGAGTATGAGTGCTGGGCGATAGAAGGATATGCTGTACTTTTGTACCTGTAGATAGCTGTAATAGAGTTTTTTGGTGTGGATTTTGTTTAAAAAGTTGGCTAAGATTTTTCTTGCTTTAAAATTTACTACAGTTAAGTAGAGGGTGCTGTGGGGTAGAGAAGAGGGGATCTGAGCTGAGAGGGTAGGGGAATACTTACTGACAGGTGATGCTTGAACTTAAAAGACAAATGGGAATAACTTGATGTTCTTTCAGTATGTTGAATTGAACTCAAGAAGAACTCTTCTCTTGACTTTCTTACCTGCTTGTCCCACTCCAGACATATGGAAATACTGGTTAAAACATTTGAAAATTTATTTTGCAGATAGATGAGAATTAAAACAAAGGGAGGTATGGAGGGGAACTGGGAAATTCTGGTGCTGGAAATGAAGAAGGACAAAAGCCAGAACAGTGATCAGGAACAGAACAGATAGCATTGAAACCTGAAATAGCCTGATGGCTAAGGTCATCTTTTGTGGTAAGACAATCTGTGCTTCAGGTCTCATGCATAATGCCACCTAGAACTAACTGTGTTAAGCCAGTAGCCAGGAAAAGCTGCTGTGCCAGTGTGAGGCAAGAAAAATGGTGGTTTTTAAAAAGCAGGAAATAAAAATCATGGTCATGGGATTGCCAGTCAAGATGATGGTGAATTTCGGTTTTCTTCTGGGCCAAACACATAACAATGATAGGAAAAAATCTGAAAAAAAAATAAAAGAGGTATCATCACATTCCTCAAAAGGAAAGCTATTTCTGTGGACCAGCAGTGGAACAGAAACACAAAGTAATCAATGAGTAGAAACCTGTAGGCCTGGGTGGTGGTAGGTAGCTGGGGATTCAGCTTGTGCAAGACAGCAGAAATTAGAAGTATCCGCCAAGCAAGGCAAAGAAGCAAAGCCAAACTCTGTACTTCACACGAGGGGTGAGCGGATGGGGGTGCTCCTCTGCCTGTGAAAGAAGGTCGCCAAAGTATTATGAAGGTTCACTGGCTTTTTAAAAGCTGTGTACATATGGAGGAAACAGGTCTGGTCTTGTAACCAGGACCTGAGCCAAGCACTTGCAGTCTTGATGACTGAGTCTTCCTTGCCCTTATGTGACCAAAGGTTTTGTGTCCTGAGCTGCCGATAGTAGACCTAGATCTGGAGTGGGACTTTGAGGGATGGATAGAAACCAGCCCAAAGTTATATTTAGAAAGGGGACGGGTAGTGGTAGGAGGGACACAGAATTTTTCTCTGTTGGATGAGCTAGCAAGCCAGATCCCTGAAAAACACATGAAGAAAATGCATGCTCTGACAGAGAATGAAGACCAGTGCTATTGGTCCTTTCCCTAAGTTTATCTCTAGAGGAACTTGAAAGAGAAAATGGAGAAAATCTGGAGAAACTCTGAGTTGACAAGGGCTGGTTTATTAAAAAAAATTTTTTTAATTATTTTTAATTTTTTATATTTTGAGATAGAGTCTCACTCTGCTGCCCAGGCTGGAGTGCGGTTGTGCAGTTTCAGCTCACTGCAACCTCTGCCTCCCGGGTTCAAGAGATTCTCCTGCCTCAGCCTCCCGAGTAGCTGGGACTATAGGCACGTGTCACCATACTCAGCTTATTTTTTGTATTATTAGTAGAGATAAGAGTTCCCCATGTTGGCCAGGCTGGTCTCGAACTCCTGACCTTGAGTGATCCGGCTGCTTTGGCCTCCCAGAGTGCTGGAATTACAGGTGTGAGCCAGCACGTCCAGCCGACAAGAGCTGTTTTGAAAGGTGAATGTGGGAGATGGGGAGGAGAACATCCTTAGTTGGTGAATTCCTTTTCACTCTGGGATATTGGCTCCTATCAGGCAGTGCCTATGGGAGGCACTATTGAATTACCACTTAGAGCATTTTCCCACAGCCAGAGAACGAAATGGGCTCTGGGAAAATAAAGGAGAAAAGGAACTGTTAAGGTTGTGCTTTCAGTTCTCCTTCATCATTGCCTAAGATGAAGAATGCCTGCATCCAAACCTGTATCAAATAAAAGATCCGATCCAGGTGGAGGTAGGAATGAAATCAGGACCCCTGATGTTTGTCAGGCACTGAGACAAGCAGGTGGAGACCAGTTAACCATGGATAATTGCTTTAGTCATCCCCTCTCAGTCCCAGGACTGGGGGATTATAGCCCAGTAGTGTCTTCTAATTAACTGCCTCTCGCTGGGAGTAAAGGGTGACTACCTGACTTAGAAAATTAAAATGCAAGGTAGTGAGTGATTATGTTTTTCTGCCTTGGATTTTATCCACTACTCAGCCCTGAATTGATTGGGCATAAGCCAGTCTGGAGTCTAGCCTTCCATAGGCACTGCCTGATAGGAGCCAATACCCCAGAGTGAAAAGGAATTCACAAACTAAAAATCAATAGACGTATGAGAAACATAAAGATTTTGGTAGAAGCAGATATATTAGAATACTTGTCCTGTAATTTAAAATTATTATAGTAAATGTACTAGAAGAAATAAGGGAAGATACTAATGTGAAATGAGAACTAGAAAACGTGAGAACCAAGCCAAATTGTAAGATTGAAAAATGAGATAATTAAAGCCTTCAGGAGATGGGATAAATAATATAGTGGGTACAGCTAAGAGAACGAGCAAATCCCTAAGAAAAAGAGAAATAGAAAATGTAAAAGGGGGTAGAAGTAGTACTACTAACAAAGATGTAAGATGTCCCCGAAAGAGAAAAATAAAAATCAGGACAAAGAAATACTGGAGATACGGCCTGGCACAGTGGCTCACACCTGTAGTCCCAGCACTTTGGGAGGCCGAGGTGGGTGGATCACCTGAGGTCAGGAGTTCAAGACCAGCCTGGCCAACGTGGTGAAATCCCATCTCTACTAATAATACAAAAAATTAGCTGGGCATGGTGGTGCGTACCTGTAGTCTCAGCTACTCGGGAAGCTGAGGCGGGAGAATCACTTGAACTCAGGAGGCAGAGGTTGTAGTGAGCTGAGATCACAACATTGCACTCTAACCTGGACAACAAGAGTGAAACTCCATCTCACAGAAGAAGAAAAAAAAAAAAGATATAAGGGAGGTGAATTTCCTGGAATTTAAAAAAAATAAGAGACTGCTGATTAGCATCAAAGAGGAGAGAAGGGAAGAAAGCCCCATACCTACGTAAAATAGTAAAATTTAAGAACATCAAAGACAAATTCGAAAGGTTCTTTAAACAAAAGATTATACTTCACAAGAATCAGATTGACACCAGATTCGTAGCAGTCACGTTGAATGCAGAAAGACAGTAGAGTAGTAGTTTTATAGAGTTCTGAGTGAGAGTTTAAAACTGAAAATTACATCTGTAGCCAAAGTGATTTAAATATGAAGGCATCATCAAAACCTTTTTTTTTTTTTTTGAGACAAGAGTCTCACTCTGGCTCACTGCAGTCTCCATTTCCAGATTCAAGCAATTCTCCTGCCTTAGCCTCCTAAGTAGCTGGGATTACAGGCGCATACTACCGCATCCAGCTAACTTTTTTTTTGTATTTTTATTAGAGATGGGGTTTCCCCATGTTGGCCAGGGGAATCTCCTGACCTCATGATCCGCCTGCATTAGCCTCCCAAAGGGCTACAATTACAGGCGTGAGCCACTGCACCTGGCTGGCATAATCAAAACATTCTAATGATAGAGGGTCTTAGGACGTTTGCCCCTCAAAGACCCACACTGAATGAAGTTTTAAAACATAAAAGAACCCAGCAGTTGTTGCACAAGAAACATATAGTTGACTGAATGCTGTGGTAAAGTTTATTATTTAAAAGAAAAAAGGCTGGGTGCTGTGGCTTCTGCCTGTAATCCTGGCACTTCGGGAGGCATAGGAGGAAGGATCACTTCCGTCCAGGAATTCAAGGCCAGCCTGGGCAACATAGTGAGACACTGTCTCTACCAAAAAAAAAAAAAAAAAAAAAAAAGCCAGGTGCCTGTATTCCTAGCTACTTAAGAGTGAGATCCTATCTCAAAATAAATAAATGAATATATGCATGCATTGCTAAATTCAAAGAAAGTGTGTACACATTGCACATCCCTAATCTCAAAATCCTAAGTGCTCCAAAATCAGAAAGCTGTTTACTGCTGACATTATGCTCAAAGGAAACACTCATTGGAGCATTTCTGATTAAGGATGCTTAACTGATAAAATAAGCAACTGTTCCAAAATCTTCCAAAAATCAAAATTTGAAACACTTTTGGTCCAACCATTTTGAATAAGGGATACTCAACTTATATATCAATAATAACTTTGAGCAGGTGTTATCACCATGACAGGATTGTCAGGTAAGGCGATCAAAGATGGTAGAGCATACAAAGTTTTTATCCTGTTAAGTGTAGAGATAAATATGAATTATTTTTTGAAGATACATTGAAAGAAATAGGAAAAAAAGTATTTACATAATAAACAGGTTTAAGAGTATCAATATTAATGTAAATGGGCTGAATTTGTTGGCTGAAGGTCAGATTGGATTACAAAAGTAATAAAAACTAAGTTCTGTTTCTAAGAGATACATCTAAAATATAAGTATACAATAAAGGTTGATGTGTGAGAGATGGAAAAAGAATGAATCGGCTGGGCATGGTGGCTCATACCCGTAATTCCAACAGTTTGGGAGGCCAAGGAGAGTGGATGACTTGAGCCTTGGAGTTTGGTGGATGACTTGAGCCTCGGAGTTTGGGACCAGCCTGGGCAACATGGCGAACCCACATCTCTACAAAAAAATAAAAAAATTAGCTGGGCATGGTGGTGCTTGCCTGTAGTCCCAACAAAAACAAGACTAACATGTTAAAAGTAAATTACAGTCATGAATATAGATGCAAAAATACTAAACGAAATATTAGAAAATCTCAGCCGAGTGCTGTAGCTCATGCCTATAATCCCAGCACTTTGGGAGGTGGAGGCAGGTGGGTCACTTGAGGTCAGGAGTTCAAGACCAGCCAGGCCAACATGGAGAAACCCCA